ATTGAGTATTATGGTTAGCACAGGAATCCAGAATTAAGGTTGCATAGAGAAGTGTACTCGGGGTGGGAGGTGGGGGGGAGGGGACGTGGGAATTGTATACTAATGAAGAATTTTTTTCCCCTCTCTTCGGAGGGGGACACGAGCTGGTGGGGAGGGGTGGGCAGGGAGAAAATCGTGGCAATGAGTGAATGGAAATCCAAAACCTCTGTAAATGTCTATTAAAATTAATAATAATAATTTTTAAAAAACGAAAAGTTATTTAGGTATTCCAGGTGAGCCCCATATTTGAAGTAGAACAATATCCTTGCTCTTTCTGCTGTGCTCCTTTTTACCAGACCCAAACCCCCAATTCCAACTTACTTTCTTCTGTTTCTCAGAACTCAGAACTTAAGAAGAGAGTGCAGTCAGGTTCTGTAAGGATTGGGGAGTAGAACTGTAGTGCCTGAGACATTGCCTGGAACCTTCATGATACCGAACATCTTTTATTTTAAGTCAACAAATATTTTGGGATTGTTCTGTTTAGTGTGTCATTTTTTAGTAAATGGCAATTAATTTTATGAAACTGTGTCCAGGAACTAAATATTCAACTCTTATTTTTCAAATCAATTAAGGTGACAAGCTCTTAGAGACTAGTTCTTTTTTCTTTTTTTTTTTTTTTTTGCAATGGTGTAAGTTATTTAAGTGAAAAGACTCATAAACAAAAAGTAAAACATAAAGTTTCATCAGTTAAAATTTAAAAAAAGACCATCATTTTATTTACCCATAACTGAAATGACCCTGGGAAATGGAGCTGAATATGCTCATAATTTGGGCAGCGCATTCTTCTATCAAACCACCGAAGTAGAAAATCCAGGTCAGATAACTAGATAAGAGCTTGTAGTTAAAATAAAGATGAATTATTGGATAATATTAGTGACCGACACTGATGGTGGTTCTGTGGTAACCTTATCCTCTTATCCATATCCTGATAGCACTTACATGTCTTTCACACACATTTAAAGTTAAAAATACAAATGTTTCAACTGTAAATACTTAAGAAATATAAACATGAAAGGACTGAATTTTGTTTTTATATGAACAATTAAAACTTTCTTTAGGTATATATATGAAATTTTTCCTTTTCTTTTTTCAAGTCTGCATTTTCATAAAAGCACTGAGCAAAAACTTTTTTGAAAAATAAATTTGTCCTATAATTCCTGAAAATAAATCTCATCCCAACTGTTTTTATTTCAGATTAGTTTAAGAACAAGTCGAGTTTCATTGATTCTGACACTGTGGAGCTGCAAAATGATTCCTCTTCCAGCAACAAGCATACAGATTTTCAGCAGACATGTTCGCCTCTGCCTGTTTGATGGGAATAAGGTGAATTTCCTAAGGAATTCTATAAATTCAGATCAAGATGAAAAAATATTTTTAGTACAACCTGTTTTAATCTCTTGGGTAATATCTATTTGTCCCTCTCCATACACATCTTCTTCTCACTTAGATACAAATACCAGGTCAAGGAATGGAAAAATTGGTATTGAGCAGAAGTGGAGGGTGATTACATTAAATCACATAATGGAAGATGACTACATCATTCTGTAACTGCCATTTTACATTATTGCCTTGCTCCCAAATCAGTGAGAATCTTGGCCTAGCCAAGTTGACATATACACTTAACCATCCCATTAGCACGTGTTACTTGTTAACATTTCCAATCTCTTCTCCATCCATCATGATGTTGCCTATTGGTCCAGTGGTAAGAATCTTTATTTCCTTGACATTGAGATACAGTCCATATTGAAGGATGCATTCCTTGATCTTATGCAAGAAGTGCTTCAAGTCCTCCTCACTTTCAGCAAGCACGGTTGTGGCATCTGTATAATGCAGGTTATTGATGAGTCTCCCTCTGATCCTGATGCCACATTACAGCTTCTTGAATAATTTCCTCGACATATAGATTGAATAGGTAGGTATAGAAAGTGAACACAACCTTGATGCATTCCTTTTTTCATTTTAAACCATACAGTATTTCCCTGTTCTGTTCAAACAACAGCCTCTTGGTCTAGGTATGGGTTCCAACATGAGCACAATTAAGTGCTCTGGGGTTCCCATTCTTCTCAATGTCAGCCACAACTTGTTAGAATCCACCCAGTGAGATGTCTTTGCATAGTCAATAAAGCACAAATAGACATTCTTCTGGTATTCCTTACTTTCTCTGAAAGAAATTAAAACTATATTTAAAATCTCTAACCAAGAAAACTCCAGGTCTTTAGAGAGGTCCTTCAAATGATGAATAAATAATACTCACATAAATAAATAAATAATACTCTCAAGAATAGAAAAAGCTGCTTCCCAACTCGGTCCACTAGATCAGCAAAAGCATGACACCAAAATCTGACCATATATTAGAAGAAAGAAAAATCAGAAGGCCAGTATCCTTCATGAATGGAGAGACCAAAATCCAGAAAGGTCAACAAATTTAATCTAGTAATATATAAGGAGGATAATAATGACTAATTGGGTTTTATTCCAGGAATTCAAGATCAGTTAACATTTGAAAAATCAGCTACTGTAACTTGCCATATACTAGACAAAGAAAATGGTGTGATCACCTCAACTAACTTAGAATAAGCATTTCAGAAATTTCATCACTCATTTGTGATTTAAAGGACAGTAACAACAGCAACAACAAAGCACCAAAAGACCCTCACCAAACTAAGAATAGAAGGGAGCAAAAAGAATCCTTGTTTGTGGTAAAGAGCAATAAGGAGAACCAAAAGCCAAGGTTTACCCCCAAGATTAAGAATAAGTCAAGGATAACTGAGAAATAAATAAACAGATAAACCAGTTTCTTAAATGAGCAAAACTTTAAATGGGCTCTTTAAAAATTAAAGTAGGTGAAAAACAATAGACATCTAAAAAGATATCCAGCATAATAAATGATCAGGGAAAAACAAAGTAAAACCACAATGAGACCAAATTACCTGAACAAGAAACTGCCTTAATATACACTATACTGCTGCTGCTGCTGCTTTCTGCATGTGCTGTAGGATCGGAAATGACTCATAGCTTGGAACTGACTCAGAGTGCACCCTCCAGCAGGTTTTCAGAGGCTATAAATCACACAGGAGGAGATTACCCATCATTTTCCCAAGGAGCAGTTGGTGGATTCAAACCTGTGTTTGGGTTGACAGGCAACTCCTACCCACTAGGCCATCCTCAAGTAACCTCCAACTTACAGCTCCCCTCTATGCAACAGGACAAGCCACGCCATGTGCTGGGCCTCCCTCACTAGGCCATGGTTACAGTCATCGTGTCAGCTCAGCTTATTGAAGGTCTTCCTCTATTTCATTGACCCTTCCCTCTTCCAAACATGATGTCCATCTCCAGGAACTGGCCTTCCTGATAGTATGCCCACAGTATCTGAGCCAAAGTCTCACTATCCTTGCTTCTGAAAAGCACTCTGCCTGCACTTCCTTCAAGACAGATTTGTTCTTTTGGCCATTCAACTTTCACATACATATGAAGCAATTAAAAATGCCATGTCTTGGGTGGGGTGTACCTTAGTCTTTAAAGTCCTTGCTCTTTAGTAATTTAAAGGGAAGAGTGGTGCAAGGAGAAGAAATAGCACAAGCCAAGGCTCTGTGGTAGGGGATGATGTGGGAAATGGGAGCCCAGTGTAGCTGAGTGAGGAGAACGAGAGAAGAGGGCAATGTGGTGAAGGGAGACAGTGGAAGACATTGTAAACCACATTTGAAGGAATTTCTCTGTATCCTACAAACAGTGAAAGTCTTTGAAAGAAGTGGCATGGCTTGATTTATATTTAGGAGAACTCTCTGATTCCTCTCTAGAAAATTCATTAGGGAAGACCAAAAGGACTGAGTGGACAAGAGGGGCTCTGGCATAGTGTACTGGTCAAACGGTAACAGTGTCATCTTCAAAAGAACAAAGTCTAGACCCTCACTGTTCTTGTCCTCTCTTGCCAGCTGTGGGACCTTGACCAGATTATTTATTTACTTGCACTTTCTCACTTTCCTTATCTGGTACACATCTCTTAGGAGCAATTTGAGGATTAAATGAGTTCATTAAAGCACTGAGAAGAGTTTATCAAAGTATTATATGAGTTACTAGTTAAGAGATGGTAAATACACAGGAGAACATTGCCCATCGCTCCCTCTTTTTTTTTTTTAATTGAGATTTTAATGAAAGTTTATAGAGAATTTGGATTTCCATTTATACATTGTTGCACATTTCCCTTCCTGCCCACCCCCACTGGTTTGCTTTTACTTTGCAAAAAAAAATTCTTTCATTGTGGTACAATTCCACTCCCTGCCTCCCCCCCTCCCACCCCTGCCGAGTCCACTTTACTGTGCAGCTCTTATTCTGGACAGTTGTCATGCATATAACCTAATCCTATATTCCTTTTAAGCAGTTCTTCCCTCATCTGTTTCAATGCCATGTTCATATTTATAGATTCGAACCACTTACCTTTCCTTTGGCAGCATGGCTCCTTACTCACCAGAGCTCTGCCTAGGGGTAAGAAATGGTGCTGTAATCCCAAAGGCACATGGTTCAAATCCACCAGCTGCTCTGTGGGAGAGGTAATCTCCATCCATGCAGCTTATTGGCTCTGAAAACCCTCTGGAGGGTCAGCCGTGGATCAGTTCCAACTATACAGCACATGAAAACAACAATTAAGAAATATAATTATATCTTAGAGGAGTAGAAGTGTAAACATGATATGTGAATAACGAGCTATTTAGAAGGTAAAAATCAACAAAATGTGATGACTGAGTATAGAGGATGTAGGAAGGGGCCAAACATGACAGTGAGATAGGGAACATTGAAGGTAGGGAATTAATTGTGGATTTGGTTTTGCTCATGCTAAATCTGTTTATAACTCTTGTTGTTGTTAAGTGCGATCGAGTCATAGACGACTCATAGCGACCCTATGAACAAAAGACCTGAACACGTGTATAATTTTCTTCGTTTCTCCAAGTTCATAGGGTTTTCAGAGGCAAGCTATTTCGGAAGTGAATGCCACTCCTACTTCCAAGCTTGTTTAATTGAGGAGCTCCACCAAACATGTCCACCATGGGGTAACCATCATCGCATTTGACTTATCAGTGTCACAGTGTTCAGCTTCATAGCATCCACAAATTACAGCAATGGACAGACCAGGGCTATACCACTTAGAAAAATGTTTAACCAGAAACATTTAATACCGGCCTGTTGGTTGAAAATGAAAAATCTTTCATTTGAATTTATAGTAAATAAACCAGTTTTATTGTTTAAATTGTTCTCTGTTTTAATGGCTGTTTCTCACCTCTGTGCTATGTCCTTGCACAAAACCACAGCCATCAGTCACTGCTAGGTGTCCTCAGGGATCAACCCTTCCCTTCTATTTGGTGTTTTCGTTGTTGGTAGGTAACTCTGCATTGTCTATTATGTGTATAAAAACATTAAGGTTGGAATTTTAATTGGAATAGCATGTTCAACGTTGGGGTGTTGAGGTTTTTTTTGCTGTTGTATTTTTTTATTATT